CGGGGCCCCCCTCCCCCCCCCCCCCCCCCCCCACACACACACACACACACACACACACACACCATCTTGGTATAATCCCAGTCATCAGTCAGTTATAGTTCAGACTGTGTGTGTTGTTTTGTCTGAGTCATCCACGAAGGCACCGCGGGGCTAAGATTACTGCTGCCTCCGCCAACTGTCATCACACACACACACACACACACACACACACACACACACACACACACACACACACACACACACACACACACAGGTGTGTTGAGTCTGACAGTGAAGATAAGGAGGAAAATATGTTTGTGTGTCTGCGTCACTTGAACACATGGAGGGTTTCCAGGGTAAAGGTCAGATGGAGCTCAGAGGTCAGAGGTCAGAGGTTAAAGCATACTGTGGGTCACAGGTTACGATACGACAACGTATCACATCAAGTGATTCATTAAAACACAATTTATCATGAGGCAGTCGTCCGCAAATTATTATGTCTGTAACACTCAGGATAAAAAGGTCAAAGGTCAAAGGTCAGGTACTCCTCAATTTATTCAGAAGTTTTGTGCCACTTTTTATTTTAAGAAAACTTTAACTCAGACTTTAAGGGAACTGCCCCCTGATCTTTAATGAAACACTTCAGATCATAACGATCACATGACTGTCCTGTAACCCCCCACCACACACACACACACGCACACGCACGCACGCACGCACACACACACACACGCACACGCACGCACGCACGCACGCACGCACACACACACACACACACACACACAGAAAACGTGGATCTAAAGAGAACGAGTCTTCACTGTGAGAATCGGGGCTTTCATGTTGGATCATTGACCCTTTGATTATCAGTGAAGAGCTGCAGACATGCAGACTGTGTGTGTCCTGGGGCGGGGTGAATAGGTGGCGGGTGTAAGTGGAGAGGATGGGGGGTGTAGGACAATGGTTCAGGGCGACACCTCAAAGAGCAGCTGACGGTGTGTTTGTGTCTCTTTACTCAGATTCAGTTTCACTGTGAATCAGCAGCTTTCAGCCACTGAGTCTGAGAACAGATTCATTCCTTTCTAGTTTGAATCGAAGCTTCAGCTCCAAGAGACTGAATGTATTGATCTGATCTGATCTGATCTGATCTGATCTGAAGAAGTTAAACTGAGAAAATCAAAAATGATCAAATCAATAGATAAATAATAACAAATAAATAAAGTTTGTTGAATGAGACGACACCAACATATTAAACCATGAGAAGGGGCGGAGCCTGTCAGGTCAGAGTTCAGCTGCAATCAATCAATTAGTCAACTGGAAGAAAACTGACTGAACTTTTTTATGACTGATTCATTTAATACAAAATGTTTTATTATGACAGGAAGTGAAACATGTTTTTGTTTCTGTGATGTTCCTCTGACTGATCATTGATCATTGATCATATTGAGTCTTTGAGCGACACACTGTAACGTCTGAAACTGTAAAACACATGCTGTGTGTGTGTGTGTGTCTCTGTGTGTGTGTGTGTGTGTCTGTGTGTGTGTGGGTGTGTGTGTGTGTCTCTGTGTGTGTGTGTGTGTGTCTGTGTGTGTGTGGGTGTGTGTATGTGTGTGTGTGTGTGTCTGTGTGTGTGTGTGTGTGTGTGTGTCTTGACATACCTCAGCTTTAAATCCTCAGGCTCTTATCTGCCTGAGGGGAGGAATTCAACCTGCTCTTATTCAAATCAACCCCCACCACACACACACACAGTGAGTGTGTGTGTGGGACAACAGAGTGACCAATCAGCTCATTGGTGGGTGGGGCTTCAGGGTATAAGTGTCTCAGGTGAGCAGCAGGTGTACAGAGCAGGACAGGTGCAGCAGTAAGACACACATTGAGCTGAAGACTGATGTTGATACGGACAGACAGACAGACAGAAAGAGTTTCCATCATGGCGTCCTTCGTCCCGGAGCAGGGTCTGTCCCCCCCACTGTGTGGACGCTCCCTCCCCCAGCAGGAGCTCTCGTCTCTGGGCCTGGATCCGTCTGACTTCAGCCTGTACAGCCCCCCAGCTCCTCCAGAGTCCAGCCTGTCCCCGTCTCCATGGCTCCCACCGTCCAACCACAGCGACCCCTCCCTCTGCTTCAACAGCCCAGCCACAGGCCCCTTCTCTGGGGCCCCTGCCCTCCCCCCTGCCCTCCCCCCTGGACTCCCCCAAACGTTTGGAAGCTTCTTCCCTCATCTCTACGGCCTCCACAGGCCCCTGATCCCCGGCAACCCCTGGTTCTCCATGTCCTCCCCAGATGACGTGCTGCGGCTGGTTCGCCCGCCGTACTCCTACTCTGCCCTCATTGCCATGGCGATCCAGAGTGCGCCTGAGCAGCGGCTGACACTCAGCCAGATCTACCAGTACGTCTCCGACAACTTCCCCTTCTACAGCTGCAACAAAGCCGGCTGGCAGAACTCCATCCGCCACAACCTGTCGCTCAACGACTGTTTCCGGAAGGTTCCCCGCGACGAGAACGACCCAGGTAAGACCAAACACACCTGAGACCAAACACACCTGAGACCAAACACAACACACCAATGTGCAGAGTTAAAACTAACAACCCATCAGAGGAGTTAGTCTCCAGGCTTTTATTTTGTTAAACTATCTACTCATCAATAACAGGAAGTGGGCTTTGATTGGTTGAAATGTTTGTTTTGTTAAATCAAATCAACTCAGTTTTTATAGTTTTTTCTAATGAAACAACAATAATTATTTCAAACCAAAAAGCAGTTTGTTCTTCAGGTCATCAGTTATTGATTGTAAAAACACAGAGGAGGTTTGTGTACAGATCAATAGAACTAAAGTTATAATCAATAATCAATAAAAACTCCTTCCCCCAGGTAAAGGAAACTACTGGACTCTCGACCCAAACTGTGAGAAGATGTTCGACAACGGAAATTTCCGCCGCAAGAGGAAGAGGAAGTGTGATAATGGCAAGAAACCTTCCTCTTCTTCCTCCTCGTCTGACTCTTCCTCATCAGAGCCCAGCCCTAAAATTCCCAGCATACACTGCAGCAGCAGCGGCGGCAGCAGTGCTGACCTCCCTGCTCCCTGCGGCCTCAGCAACTTCCTGTGTCACCTCCAGGACTCCCACCTCCCCTCTCCTCACACCACCTCCCCCTCGCTGTATGTGCAGGTACCAGACCACACTCCCCCTCCTCCCCCTCCTCAGGGGTGCCTCTCTTCTTACTCGCCCGGCGCCGTGGTGCCGCAGTGGGACACCTGCAGCTCCTCTCCTCCTCTCTTCCCCTCCTCCCAGTCGACCCCCCCACACTTCTCCTCCCCCCTCGCTGACCCTCAGACCAGCTCACCGCCGCTCTACGTCGACCTGCAGACGGCGTCCTGTCCTCTGCCGGAGCTCCAGGACACCCAGCAGCTGCAGCAGCTGCAGGCCCAGTGCGGGCCTCTGTTCCTGGGGGGCTTCAGCGACGCTCTGCCCCTCGACGCTCTGGTTCTCCAGCAGTGAAGCTGAACGTAGTGTTTACAGTTTTTACCGTGTGAATGTTTCTATTTATCGTTCCTTTCTTTCATAATGTTAAAAAATGTGGTGACATTTTTTATAGTGTATATATGAACTTTTGTGTTTGGAATAAAAAAGAGAAAATTATTTTTGACATTGAATCGTGTTTTTTCATTTTCAGAAATTTTAATTTATTCACACAAATACAACAAAACAAAATGTTTGAAAAGACTGAAAATGATGGAGATTAAAGAAACTAAAAATAGTAGAAAATAAAAACAGTAAGAAGTTACAGGAAACTCTTCATGACGTTTATATTAAATTTATATTTACATAAAGAGACAAACGAGTCAGTGTGAAAGATCTGGTTTCCTCTGGTGCTTCCTCACACTGAGGTCACATGACGTCGCTACCCGCCAGTCATGTGACCTCATATTTACTCCTCTGGATCTTTATAGAAAATCAGAGTGAAACAAACTGGACCAGAACTAAAGCTGTGATGAGTCGGGTGTCAGAACCACCACAGTCAAAACACCTTAAGATTTTCCTTTAAGTCTGAAGCAAGGTTTCCTGAAAATGTTCACTTAAGTATTGAAGGTTTTCTCCTTCTCTTTCTTCAGTTATCACATTCAGCTCCGACATGTTGAGTTCAGTCACATGATCCTTTAAGCTCCTCCCTTACTTTGGTCACTAAGGTCTTTTGTGACTGACGTTAAGAAAAGACCTTAAATATTTTAGTGAACATTTTAAGAAAACCTTAACTCAGACTTTAAGGAAATCTGAACTTAAGGTGTTTTGTGCAACTGGTGCCAGGTGAACATCACCTGAAAGAACCAACCAGGTCGTATGTTTTTAGGTCATAGGTCACTTCAGTAGCGTAAGTCATGCAAGGCATCATGGGACTTCAGGAAGCTGAATGATGGTGAGAGTGTTTCCATTAACTGAAGTACTCAGATACATAGTGAAGTACTAACACCACAGAGTAGAAATACCAGTGTTTATTAACGATGCATCCTGATCCAGTTTCTGTTTCATCTTCATTTGAAAAGTAAATAAACTAGTGACTCTACCTGTTCAATCATGTAGCGCAGTGAAGAGAAGAAGAAGAAGAAGAGGAGGAAGAAGAAAATAAGTTGTTTCCCATGAAGCCCAGCAGCTGCTGGATGATGACGTCAGCACCTTTAAACAAACAAACAAACATGGAGTCGGGCTGCGGTTCCTGGATCTGCTGAGTCATGTGATCCTGGAGGAAGAAACCCTGACCTGTCCTCCATCTGTTTGTCTGGTCGCAGCGACTCAGCAGTTTCCTGTGCAGGACGAGTCGACAGCAGAGATGATGAAGCAGATTACAGTGTTTCAGTCAGCAGATCCCACACTGTCAGACGCTCTGATTTCCCACAGACAGTGAAGTGATGGCTGTTTACCTGTGTGAAGATCTGTGGGAAAGAAGCTGTGAGGATCCTCTTCACCTGGTCTCACCTCTGTCTGTTACACTTATTCTCATTATTGATCAATCTGTTGATTGTTTCTTTAGACTAATCAGTGAATGAATCACTTAATTAATTAGTGAATTATTCAGTTAATGAATCATTTTAAGCTTTAAAATCTCCAAAAGGAAGAAGA